ATTTATTATACATATCTATTGTTCTTACAGAATAATAGTTCACGATTTCTTCTTCTTCTTCTTGCTATTTATTTATTTGTTTATCTATTTACTTATTTTGTTGTTGTTTTTTTTTTGCTTACCATTTTATTTCCTAGTTTAACGTTTAAATTCTGCTTCTATATTCTGAAAGTTTAAATGCGTTTCATATCGCAGGACCAAGACCACAGGACGCTTTTGACAATGACATAAATGGTTGTCTTTTTAATGATTGGGCTAACCAAGGAATTATTTCCAATATCGTCCAGTGTGGAGGGGCTGGACTGTGCTATCGTAATAATCTACAAGATCCAACTTTACCAACTTTATTTGCTGTCTGTTACAACACAAACACTCTTACCCCAGACTTCACAGGTCATATCGTAAAAAACGTTGGTGGTGGCGGCCGTGGATCCAGATCCTTTAAAATGGACTTAGGACCTTTTGGTAAGAAGTATTGTCAAGTGCTTGAAACATTTTATGGATAATGAGGTTGACTAGATAGGAGAACCAAAAAAAAAACAGTTTAGAGTTGGCTGCTTAGCAACTCACTTAAAAGCTTCCTTGAAGAGTAAGTAGAGGCACATTGTACGTAATACGATTAAAAGAACGTTAACGTTCGAAAGTGCACAATAAGCCATTTACTGCAAAATTTAGTTCAAAGAAATCTTCAGAATGTGTAGGCAAGCGATTGAAGGAGCACCTGCCAAAAATCCACGAGATACGAACCCCTGTTGGCTGTTTTCCACTTTAGTTTTTGGCTACGGTAAAAGCCCCAGGTCCACAGTTTTCGTAGTAATTTGCAGTACTGTGTGTGTGCTGTAAGTAATATTTGATACCTTGGAGATTGCAAAAGATGCTCCTCTGCGAAACTCTTTGTTAACTTTTCGAGACAGAACAGAGTCACTTGTATGAATATATGATTCGTTTTCCTCCGCTTAATGGAACTGACAAGAGAGGGCTGGGAAAATTTTGAATAAGATAAGGTCGAAACCAACTAAAATAACTTCTAAAATCGGTTGAGGACTGCCATTTTTTTGCCAGATAGAAGTAATAAGCTTACTCAGTAAACGATCAATTTAATGTGGTTTAGGGCAAATATCGTCGATTCTATTTTTGAGGCAACGCGAGAAGAGGCCGTGGTCCCTTCTGATAATAGGGACTTTAAGATCCGAGACGCGACGGCTGTAAGACGCGACAGGAAGTAGATTTTCAAAGAGGAGACATGTTGCGCATGCTCAAGCCGTTGTCCTGGTGTCACCACGTCGCGTCGAGAACGTGGGTTTTGCGTGTTTGACGTTCTGTACAAAACGTGAGTATATTTGTTCCTGTGCTTGAATTAAATGATGGTATATTCCTCTAAACATGTAACATCAGCCTTCTAGGATCATTGGACGTAATTTCTGGCGACATTTTAGATCGCAGAGATGGAAGGATTTTGACCATTTTTAAATTTCTTTCAGGTGTACGAAGCTTATAAAATGGCAGCGCCTTCGACTTCGACTTCGAGCGAGGCTTGCAAGTAAGTCACGAGCTAAAACTGGAAATAGTGAATGCTGGAGTCTTCTGCATACTCTTCTCGTCTCTTGTACCGTTGCAATTCGCGATTTATTGCGTTCATCTGCGGCTAAAAGCCAATTTTAAGCCTGTATTATTTAATTTAATTTTATTAAACTGCGTGTGTTTTTATGCTTCTCTTTAGTTCAGTAATGTTTTGGACTCATGATCATGAAGCCATTCTATGCAGAGAAGTCGTCAATGTAAATCCCTACACAACTAAAAAAGGGTCAACACAAAGAAGTAGAATGTGGGAAAAAATAGCAGACAACTTGAACAAATTCACTGTGCCGAAATTCAGGGTTGATAAGCGATCAGTCCGAGACCACGTGGGAATCCTTGTTTAAAAGCGTAAGAAGAAACTACTAGCGGAGGAAAAAGCAACTGGGATAACTCCCGATGAGCCAACGGAACTAGAAAACCTCTTGGATATGATCATCGCGTTGGAGGAAAGTGGCGAAGCGGAATTACAGGAAACACAGGGAACAGCTAGCAAAAACGTCAATACGATCGGGCTAAAGTGAAAGATGTTAGACTAAAAGCGATGGAGAAGCTGTCAGAGACGAAGAAAAGAGGTTCACCAGAGGATGAAAGCGATGACAAACCGAAGCGTCAACCAAGAAGTGGAGGTGATGCTATCGAACAAAGCATTTCTTGGACTTTCTTAAATTATGCCATGGCTATTTCTGCGAAAGAATCGCCGAAGAATCAGACTGATAAAGAGCGGTTTGCAGCCGCGTCGTCTTGCATCGCGACAGAGATCTTAACTTTACTTTTCGCGCGCAAACGACGGCGTTCTACAGGTCCAGTCCTTTATCAGCCACCGCGTTCTAGAAGTCGTCGCGTCCCAGATCTTAAAGTCCCTAATAACGTGCATAGCGGGCGCCAGTGATTACCATCATCATCATCATCCTCATCATCATCATCATCATTATCAGTTGTGATGTTGTTTCCAAACAGACGAATAAGGACAGTTTTTATGTCACCACTTTTTCTTTATTTTGAGGCCCAGTTACAGATAAAGTGTACACTCTGCAATTTAGGGAAAACTCTTTTCTATTCAGCGTTTATCTCCATATTGAAATGTAGTTGTCTCCAAAACATGCATGGCTACTCCCGGTTTTCCCATCAGTGGGCACCACATGCACACCACAAATGTACAGAACACTAACCCAATCTCTATTGGTCGATGAGTATTTCCGCAAGTTCAGCAAGTTGTGCTGTATTAGCGGCTGGTCGACAAACAAAAAACAACGAGAAAAGAATGATCAGAGGTCGATACTCTACACCAAACCATATAATCATAAAAAGCAATATTTTATCCAACTTTTATGGCCTAAAATTTTGGTAGAAAAACAGTAAAAGTATAGAGAATTGTTGCGTGACATATGCCTGGCTACATAAGGGATCGAAACGTCAGCTTGTCAATTTTTAAGCAAAATTAATATATTTTTGTATTGTTACTAGCACCAAACCCTCAAGCCAAACCAGCTTACTACAGGACAAGCAGCCAACCTCAGTTATTCAACAATTTCGACGTAAAAAAGGAGCAGTTCCTTTCTAGAGGACATTTGGTACCCAACGGGGGTTTCGGTCCACTTGAAGATCGAGCTTTTACGTTTATAATGACCAACGTCGCCCCCCAGTGGCAGTTGTTCAATCTTAGCAACTGGGGTCAACTGGAAGCTGCTGTAAGACAGTGCATTTAGTGTTATCGAATGCACGAGTTTAAGTAACGTCCCGGCTCAATTTAACTTGCAATTCAGTTTCGGTGGCAATAAATGCCGACCTTCAACAAAGGGATCGTTCATGGACAGCTTTCTAACGAACAGATTACGTTAAAATCTCTTCTACCAAGTTGTGCAAAATATGCCATGCCAGAAGCAATACAACGGAACAAAACAGAAAGAAGGAAAGAAATAAACCAAAAAAATAACGGAAGACAAAAATAGACTAATGAAGGGATTCAACAATGTAGTTTCACTGTAATCGGTTCAAATACTTTTAATACGAAGATTGCATTCCTGATGTTGAGCTTAAAATAAAACTATTACTAGAAACATCTGCTTCTTTTCTTCTTGCGGCAGTTAACTTATGAGGCGGGCTATAAGAAAAGTTATTGGGGGTGAGGAATTCTTGAGCCTCGTGGATTTTCTTGTTTTTTAATTTATGAATTCTTTTAGGGCAGTGCATGGAAATTTCTTTAGGGTTACTTGGCGTACATGATTTTATTATTATTATTAGTAGTAGTAGTATTATTATGTAAAATTTAGCACAGGGATTTTCCCTGTGGAGAAATATCCAGTCAAGTCTCATCCCGAGACCTCAGACTTCCAGCACCTTTCTGAGGATATGTGCCGATCCGAGGAGTGCCGACTTTTGCACCTTTCTTGTTCGGTTTTTAATTCCTAGTTGCTCCAAGTGGCCTGCCCTGAACCCAGTGACGGAGGCGGCGGCTGCAGGTCGGTTACTCGCTGGAAAACCAGGAAGGCTAAAATGGACTGACAAGATGAATCAAGATTTACTAGAATGCAGGGAAAAAGCCTTATGCTTAAAAAAGCTCAAGCAACCCGCCATGTTATCAGAACGGACGCAAGAAAGGATATATGCGCATTTTGAAAGATCTATGGGATGACGTGGGATACGTGAACTTGGGGTTATCAGCTCAGAATTTTCGCGACCACGCAGCAGCGATAACGGATGAAACCTCACAAATAAGTGTTAGAGGCGACTCTTCAACTGTTCTAGACGAAACAGAAGGGGTTGGTGCCTCTATATTGTCACAAACCGAGGGTCTCGAACCCGCCCAATGAGAAGGTGAAAATTTATCAAACGTGAATGTGGTCGAAGGTTCGAATTTGCATATTTCTTCTGACATTGCTGATCAAAGAGCTCCCCAGGGACGGACCGCTACTTGCAAGGATCAAAACACCAAAAATCAAATCAAGCCAAATCTGCCTGATTATGATGTGCTTCCCTCCGGAACAAAGAACAAAACTTGGGGCAGTATTAGTTACGCATGTTTCTGTAATACTGTCAACGATGTTTACGATGAAATCGTCCACTACAGGAGGAATATATTCAATGTTCCATCGGGTCGCGCAGGGAAGAGTTTCATTGAAGAATTAACCTTCTGGATTAAGCAATTTAATTCAGACTCTGACTTGAACTCGGTCGCTCTTAAAGCATTCATGGTGCTCCCAACTTTGATTTTGCAAAAACCATCCGTTACTTCCAAAAGCAAGGAGCATAGTGAAGCAATAGAGCGTCGATTAGCACTCTGGAAACAAGGGGACATTGATTTGCTGCTTAAAGAAGTGAGGTTCTTTCAAGGGAAATTTGTGAATTCCAAGAAACCTAGAAAGGTTGAAGACATATCCAAAGCCTTCTCAAAGCTGGTTCTGCAAGGAAAATTGACAGCTGCAATAAAACTCCTAGATAACGAGAGCTCGTCCGATCTGCTCGACCTATCGCCAGATGTCCTGCAAGGGCTACAGGACAAGCACCCACAGGCAGCTGATATCGCAGAGGAGAGTTTGTTATATGGCCCAATTGATTATATTCCGCCAAATGTTTATGACCTCATAGACGAAGAATCGATCTGCAACTCGGCAAGTAAAACCAAGGGCTCAGCCGGACCATCTGGAATGGACGCAGAGCTGTATAAGAGAATCCTGTGCTCTAAGAATTTCAAGACCGAGGGCAAAATATCGAGAGAAGAGCTAGCCGTGTTCACAAGAAATATGCTAAGGAAATCGTACCACCCATCCTTACTTGAAGCCTTTACGTCCTGCAGGCTTGTCCCGCTTGATAAGAACCCGGGAATCAGACCAATTGGTGTTGGAGAGGTACTAAGGAGAATAGTGGGGAAAACGGTCAGCGGTTTCTTAAAGGAGGAAATAAAAGAAGCGGCGGGTCCCCTACAAGTTTGCGCTGGTCATAATGCAGGAGCGGAGGCTGCGATCCATGCAATGAGTCAAGTGTTTGTTGAAGAAGGAACAGATGGAATATTGCTAATTGATGCTAGTAACGCTTTTAACCAAATGAATAGGTCAGCGGCCTTACACAATATCTAGATCATGTGCAAAGAAATGGCGCTCTATGTTATTAACATATATAGAAGCCCATCTAGACTATTTATTTGTGGGGGAGGTGAAATACTTTCTCGAGAAGGCACCACACAAGGAGATCCGCTAGCGATGCCATGGTACGCACTTAATACATCCATAATGATACAGAATTTGAGGGATCATTGCCCATTGGTTAAACAGGTGTGGCTTGCAGACGACAGGCCTACTCTGGGACCTTAACTCGCCTTAACTCGCAACTTGAGATTATGTTCAAATTTCCTTATCTCGCCTTAACTCGCCTAAACTCGCATTATCTCGCACATACTCGCCCAATCTCGCAACTTCCAAGTGGATACCAATTTTAATATCTCATCCTACTCTCAGTGTAATTTCACAATTACTCCATAAAGGGAAGATGCCAAAGAATACAAATTTCAAAAGTTTAAAAGATAGTGATTTTTAAGGAAAACAGGGTTTTTACCTTTAAAAAATATGTAATTGACCAATCCCATCCTTCTGGAATTTCCAATAGCCTATGTGGTAAGGGTATTTCACCACTAAAGATTTGATGAGGTTATTCTTACTTAACATTGTCATGCCTTGGAGTCACAACTGGACTGTCAATGGAACTTCCAGGAACAGCCTGAACATGCACTAAGTCGTTGCCTAACGAAAAGGCTTCAATGCTAAGCACGACAGAAATTCCAGAGGCATGGGGTCACAGGGTCTTACAAATCCCACGTTGACTGTTTGTGTTTTGGTCCACAAAGTAAGTGACAGTAACTAAAAGCACAAACAGTGAATCCACGAAAAAGTTTTCGTAAAAAAGTTTAAGTTTTAGTCTTACACTTCCAAGCAAGACAAAGAAACACTGTAAATCGAAGATTGCTTTGAGTCTCTCAATTGACGAAAAAATATTATCTTATGATTTGTTTTTCATTTTTGGCTTAAAATAAGAAATCTCGAATTTAGAGTGAAATACAAAAACATAATACCAGAATATTAAATTTTTAGTTTTAAGCTGGTTAATTATTTACAAAAAAGTTTAATTGTAATGGAAAGTTTAATTACTTTGCAAATATAATGCATGCAAGCTGTTTTTGACATATGAAGAGTAGTAGCATACGAATCATCTTATAATCTGATGAAGCTTAATGAGGATTCCAGCTGACAATCATCAATGAAAGGCTAGGATGTAGCCAGAATCGAGAATCCTTTAAATACTCCACATACCGATTGCAGTCCATATTTCTTATAAATAATTCTTATAAATATTTACCTCGTACTAGAAGATCTGTACATTGGTTCAACGTGACATCCTGTATGGCTTACATTGTAGTCAGACTGGCAACCATAACCCAGGCATGATTCATAAAGACTTGTTACATTTAGCCCTTCACTTAATAAAGGATTGCTAAAGGTACAATTTCAGCATTGATAGCCAACTTCGTTCGCCATCTTTGAAATTACCCAGAAGATACTGGTAACTCGTGTTTTCCCAGGGCCCTCTCGCTCAGCCTATTGTCCTCGATAAGCATTCTGGGTAATTTTCAAGATGGACGGGAAAACTTCTGAAGAAAAGGAGGACAACTCGTACAAACCTTTTGATGTTAAATCGAGATGTTTCAAAATGTATCACATGCAGGTAAGCTAAACTAAAGCCTTTTACCCCTGCAACGTTAACCTATAAAAGCCTTGTTGATCTCAGTCCACTGGCAAGTTTTAGGTAGGAAGCTTCAATGTGGCATACGTGACATAAAAACAAGCACAAAACGCCTGAGCCGGTCATCATTTTGTAAAAATTCGAAACGGGAAAGACTCATCAGTGACAACTCTTAAGAGTTTGGAAGACAAAGCCGATAGTGGAGAGCGTTTTCTTGATATTCAAGTTAAATAAGGTATAGTATACCTGCCAACTCTCACGCCTTAGGCGTGAGTCTCACGCCTGCGGGTTGAAAACGTCGATCTCACGCCCGCTCACGCCTGCGGACCAATTTCTCACGCCTGATTGAAAAATGTGAGTTGTTGCCGTCTTGCTTGACACAATTTCCAAAAATATGTTAACTCAGACCCATGCAAGGAACGAAAACCATGTGTAAAATGAATAAATGACAATACCTTCCTCGCGATCTATGATTTTGTGGATAAGCGTTTTCCTGATAACTTCGCCTTCGGCAGACTTCGGACGTCTTCGGAAGACTTCGGACGTCTTCGGGAATCTTCGGAAATGATCGTGTCGTTTTCAAAAATCCCAGCACTCCCAGGATAAAAATCTCACGCCTACATCTCAGAAAAAGTTGGCAGGTATAGTATAGTACTCTGCACAACTATGAACACTTTCTGACACTTTGTAACAAATAAGTAAACCTGAACAGAAAATATGGTCATTTATTTTCTGCTGTTTTGCTAGGATGAGAATGATAAAGAGTTTACTGTCAAGTTAACTTGATCCTCCTTTCTTTCGTAGAAATCAAGGTGTCTCTCGCAGGATTGTCCAAGTTTAAGGAGGGAGTTTCTAAAATACGGGAACTGCTGTCTTTGCGAAAAGGCATCAGCCTCCATTTGCAAGAAATTAGAACAGATTATCCGAGGAAACAAAAAGGCAATCATTTCTGGCAGTGAAAACAAACAATTGAGCTGGATTCCAAGGGAAACCAGCAGTGAAGTGGAGAGAATGGATCAAATGGAAGACTTAAAGATAAGTCTTATAATTTTCAGGGAGAAAGAAATTTCATTTCAGTAAAATTGATTGTGTCATAAAAATTTCCTCAGCTGAGTTGTATTTCGTCAGCTTCCCCGGTTTTTTTATACCAGTTCTTTGAAGAACATTGACACAGACTGCAAAAACATTTTTTTTTTCAATTCTGGAGTTAGTGATAACAATTGATGACATGTCATGTGATACCTATTATGCTCACCTGCCTATTAAAACATAGTGTTATTGATTTATAAAAATTAATAAAATATCCTACCTGTGCTTATGCTACAGCTACATTTTTTAATCAGTTCATGATTGTTTTGTTTTCATTTTTTTTTACTACTGGTACTTATTCTGCCAAATAATTATATGGCTTTAATAAATAATATATGATGATGATGACAATGATTATTATTATGATACAGCCACCAAATGGTATAGTTTGATGTCTAAATGCTATATAATTAATAAAGAACAGGACTCCATGTCACTAGCATATCCATACTTAAGCTTGTCCAATTAGGAAAATAATTCAATTAATAAATTTAAACAAGATTTAGCTTCATTCAACTTTGGAGCTCATCTGAAATTATTTGTTTAACTTTTTCGTAATTGGACAACATGGAACCTACTATATATATAAGAAACACAAAGATTGCGAGGTATCTTTATATGTTTATTACTAAAGTATATTATAAATTTTAACCCTTATAACCTCAAAATAAGGTGGATCATTTTCCCCTAATTCGCCCTAACTCGCCTTAACTCGCACAAACTCGCAACTGATAGGCCAGCTCAATTTTTCCTTATCTTGCCTTAACTCGCCTAAACTCGCATTAACTCGCACAATCTCGCGGCGAGTTACAGTCAAACCAGGTCAAGCGTTCCCGTCGCTAACAAACTAATGAATTCATTAATGGAAAAATGATTTCGTTTGTTGATTCAATAATCCATTCATAAAATGAATAATCCAACGGTCAAATTGTACCTCGATTCAATAATCAAATGTTGATTTGGTTTATGAACAAAATCTACCTGTTCTTTATTCTTGTCTGTTGTGTTCAATCGTATTTGCTTCCCTTTTCCTGCCGTTTACGATTGCGTTTTTCATTGCCTTTAAAGAAAATAACAGCTAGAATAGACAGACCGCAAACGCAAAGAAACTGACAAAGGCCGAGGATCGAAATCCACCAATCACCGCACGTACACTGACCTCAGTTTGACCGTCGTGTTTTCTAAGAGGTCAGGCCTAGGTCTGTTGCACTGATTATTGGCAGCAAACTGGCGTACATGTAACAGTTTGTTTGGGTTTGAACTTCAGAACTCGCCAGCACTCGACTCTCAGAAAAAAAAGAGGAAAAAACAAAATTCTGAGGTCAACTTGTGGAAAGTGGAATTTTTCAAAAAACAGTAATCGAATCAACATTCGATTATAGAATCGAGGCTAAATATTACTGTTGGATTGTTCATTTTATGAATGGATTATTGAATCAACAAACGAAATCATTTTTCCGTGAATGAATTCATTAGTTCGTTAGCGACGGGAACGCTTGACCTGGTTTGACTGTAAGGTCCCAGAGTAGGCCTGACGACTCAGCTGGAGGAGGGAGTATAGTGCAGTTATACAACTGGTACAGGCAATTGAGTAAGGAAGGTCAAAAGTTTGGTTACCTTGTGAATGGGACAAATAGCTGGCTTATTGTGAAGTCTAGGGAACTCGCGGAGGAAGCAAAGAGGGTGTTTGGAGAGGAAGTCAACATAACGTCGACTGAAGGTCAGCGCCATCTGGGAGCAGTTATTGCGTCGCAAGAATACAAAGATCAGTATTGTGAGGAGAAGGTTCGTGCATGGAAAGAGGAAATCGAACGTCTCTCTGAAATAGCGAAGAGCCAGCCCCATGCGGCGTATATTGCTTTCACAAAAGGCTACAAGTCGAAGTTCACCTACTTCATGGGCACGATTGAATCGTTTGAAGTTTATGTCGATCCAATCCAGGAAGTGATTGAAGATTTACTACTCCCAACTTTGTTCGGTCAATCAGAGCCTCTCCCTAACGAGGTGCGCAGACTTGCTACCTTAGCAACGGGTCAAGGGGGTCTAGGCATTCCTGATCTGAAATCCGAGACACCGCAGCAGTTTGCTGCCTCGAGACTAATAACCACAGCGCGCGTAGATTCTATTACTTCACAGAGTTCCATCATGGTGCCAGGAGAAAGATCTACGGAGGAGCTAAAGAGGCATCAACAATCACTTAAGAGAGCAAGTGCCAAAGAGAAAATGGAGAGCATTGATTCAAGCCTCTCCCCAGGCCTGCTGCGTCTGGTTAATCAATCGAGGGACAAGGGCGCAAGTTCTTGGCTGAATGCGATGCCTCTCGCAGACAAAGGTTTAGCCCTCAACAAGCAAGAGTTATGACTTGCCCTTAGTCGATTTAACAAGTCATTGCATATGTGGGGATAAATTCACCGTTAGTCACGCCCTCTCTTGTTAAAAGGGGGGTTTGTAGCGCAGAAACATGACGGTGTACGGAACTTGTTAACGACATTCATCGACAAGATCTGCAATAATGTCGAAATCGAACCACGCCTTCAACCCCTGGACAACGAGCGATTTCATTTGAGGAGCGCAGTTACAAGTTCTGAGGCAAGGTTGGACATCAAAGCGGGAGGTTTCTGGGCAAGAGGAGTTACGGCATTTTTTGATGTTAGAGTTACGCACGTCAACTCCAAGTGTTACCAGAGCAAGCCAACATCGGAAGTGTTCAAAGAGCAAGAAGAAGAGAAGAAGCGCAAGTACCAGCAGCGGGTGTTAGATGTAGAAATGGGTTCGTTTACGCCTTTAGTGTTTGGAACCAATGGCGGAATGGGAAACGAGTGTCAGCGGTTCTTAAAGCATCTCGCAGACAAGATAGCTCAGAAAGACACCGAGCCTTATCATGTTGTAATCACTTGGCTCAGGACACAGATCTCGTTTGAACTCTTAAGATCGGTACATGCATGCGTCAGGGGTTCGCGAACGCCGTTTCGTAGCAAGATAGAGCAATCATTAGACTGTAAAATAAATGTCGCTAGTGCGGATAACTGAAATACCTGTCTATATGCCTTTATACTTAGGGCTTTTTATGGACACTGGTTTAGCCGTCATTAGTATAATTCGATTGTACGATCTTAATATCTCTGCATAATGGAATTCTTTATTTTATAGAATTTTGAACTTTTATTATTAATTATATCTATTTCCTCTTCTTTTATGTAAGGTTAAGTTACTTCTATTTTTTAGAATTTGTAAAGGAATAGTTTTTTTCTTCACTTATTAATGAAGGCCGAGGGGTTTCTTTTGTAACGGATGGAATTGTAGATAGTGTTTTGATGAATTAATTAGATTTTTTGTAACAGCAGGTTGATTGTAAATAGGATTTTAATTGAGGTTTTGTAATAAAGATTTTAACTCTTTTACCCAATGCACCTACAACCATTATTATTATTATTATTATTATTATTATTACTATAATTATTATTATTATTATTATTATTATTATCATTATTTCGTTTAACTTCCCATGCAGGAATATATATATTTTTTGTACTTCGCCCGCCATAAGTTGTCTATTGTCCCTAAGGCAGTCGGAACAAATACGCCTGATCTTGCCGCTTAACAATATGTGCAAGGCCATATATATTCAACACGATTGTTTGAAATGCATTTTATAAATTAAAAGGGACCTTCTTGGAAAAGCTCAACTAAGCTTGTAGCGACCTCCTGCTGTTAGATTATGTTATAGATTTCATACAAATAAAAGATTGATCGATTGACAGTCCGGGAGATATCCATCTCTGGATATAGGTATCGTGCGTTATGATTGGTTGAGGACAAAACCAAAGTTGGCCGAGAGCTACTAGAGATAAGCAGAAGTGAAACAATTTTTGTTGATTGCGGCCTATTTTTGCCACTTATAAACAAGATGAAGTAATACGAAATCACTCCAAGGAAAGATAGCATTTTATTCAGCATACACTCTTGCACTCTGAGAGAGTGGAGCGAATTACTTCCAGGACAAATTCATCATATAAACGTCGTGATCCTCGAACCGAAGCCAAAGAAAATGCTTAAACTGTATCGCACAAGAAACAGGTCAGCTTCATGACCTCAAAACGTGAGGCCAGCAGCAAAAATCTACAGCATAATCCACCTGCTAGAGAGCTAAAGGAAATTATACGAACAAACAACATTTTACTACACGAGGTAAACGTCGTTTAGGCCTTTTTATAACGTGTAAATTCGGATATGTAGATCGCTACCTGCGAGAATTCAACATCTTACAAGAACGCGTGACAAAGCAGAGCGGCAAAATCATCACATTCACGGACAAAACAATTACAAGGAGCACCGGAAATGACCTCTAAAGATAAGACTGATTCGCTCAGTCAAAGTTTCGAATACTCCACAGTGTAATCTACGGATTTTGGATTTAAGAAGTGATAAAAGTTGCAACTCCTTGCGAAACGAACAATTCCAAATTAAACGAAACCAACAATCAGTTAACGCTCAAACAGTGAGCCAGTATTGGCGCCGAAATTACACACTTCACAGATTTTCAAAGGCCGTGCATATGAACCAAAGTATTGCGCATATGGATTTTCTTTGAATAAAAAGAGAAGCAAATTTAATCTAGCATTTCGGAGTAATTTTTTCAAAACCTGAAAAAAAATATTACATACCTGAAATTTGCAAGAATTCAAAGACCACTCAACTCAGAATGCATCAAAAACGGTGAATTCACTTTCCCCAATCTTTCTCTGCGTTACAGAAACGCACGCCATCATTCTCTTGTTTCACATGTTCCTCTGATGTTCCTTTACAAATAGCGCGTGATCTCATGGAATAAATGAAAGAAATGGCTGAATGATAGTGACGCCAAACGTTGCGAATACTGATTTTTCTTTGAAGGTCCAAAATGCAATTGTTTGTCAGCGGGTTGTATCCTTGTATTAAACAGCGCCTGCTATTGGCCAATGATATTTATGACGTTTTTGGTCTCTCACCTCATAGAAGTCGCAAATATCATGCTACTTGTATTTTTCATCCTGTACATTTGTCGAACAAAAAATGACCTGACAGAGGCACGGGCAGACAAATGCCAAGGATGAGGGCACTGATTGCTCAGTGATTTTAGACGATTTAAGAGCATCTGCTGATAGCTTTTTAGGCGTTGTCTGTCTCCCATTCACACCCGCAAACTCTGTATTCGACACGAAAACGTTGCGCAGCAAAAGAAGAAAAGGTAGGACCTCCGTTAAACTAGGTAGCAATTTAAAACGTCTTGTAACTAAATGAAAAATTCCTTCTAGGTTTTATTTTATTTTTACTAATGACGACAATAACGTGAGGATGAAGGCATGCGAAAATGGTATAAAGATGTCAAAAGTGCAAAACGAGATGTTTTCAAGCCATACCATCTCTCCTTTTCCATCGCGATTGCCTGGGAAGCGGGCACGAACGCACCGTGACATGTTGATCATTGAATTTTCGTCTCAGAAAGAATGTTCTAGAATTAGGGGGAAGCTTGGTTTTCTTCTTGGTATGTTGGACATTGCATAGATCACGTATATCACTCAGTTTTAAAAAGATTAGATACAGCGCATCCCAGTGTTATAGTGTACATGTTGTGTATAGTGCAAGAAACGTTTTCGTAGCGCAGCACAAACGGTCAAACTTTAGTATTTGGGCTCTTTGAAACGTTTAATATTATTCAAGTTATCGGTCAAATGTCTCAATTCGAAGCTTCATCATTCAACTCCTGGGCACTTGGCACCTTTGCCGTCCCGGGGGAAGGGAATTTGATGATCAGAGTCTTCCGGGGGATGGGGAAATCGATCCCCACCCATGGGGGAATATTTTTTTCTTCGTGGCCAATTGGCTCCGTAGCAAAAGGTGCACATAAATTAAGCTTTGTGCTGTATTTGAAGGTATATTTATTTATTTATTTGTATGGTTCTTGCTTTGAATACATGGAGATGTTGTGTCTTCAATAAAACCGATACCGTGCGATGATTTAATTGATATGTCGGTGAAGAGTTCTGAAAGGCCATGAATGTATGGAACGCAGTAATTAAAGTAGGTGAACTGTTTAGAAAGCTTATATGTTGCATGACGCGAAGAAAAGCTGTGCATTCAGTGTGGCGTGTTTCTGTAATTTCCTCTGCTTTGCACGAGAGTTTCGTCGTATTAATTCGTATTTTTAGTTCGCATTTAAAGTTTTTTTTGGGACAACTGAAGACGTTTTAATTTCTGCTGTCCTTCTTTCATCCGGCATGTGCGTGTGAAACTTGATAAGCTTTTTTTTGTTTTGTTTGTTTGTTTGTTTGTTTGTTTTTTTATAATGTCCCCATGGTGGGACATTTGATCGGCTTTTTGGCTAGGGGAGGGGGTAATTTGAAAAATTAAATCAAAGTCCATAACGGAGAAACTTTTTTTTCCCTCTCTCTCTCTGATAGGAGAAGTTAAGTTGCATTGACCATTTTTAAATGTAACTTAAAAGTGAGTCAAACACTGCTAGTTGCAGACAATTGTAGGTAACTCATTCATTTTGGGTATCTGTTTGTAAAAAGTCAAATGCGCATGGGGTTACCCGGAGAAGAGGGATGTTGAAGCTTCGAGTTGTCCAATATGCAGGTATAAGAACACACGTTTGTGCCCAGTTTCTTAAACGCTGCATGCCCTTGTTCACGACAGAAATTCTTGAAAAATTGGCACCCTTTTTATGAGTCTTATCTCAAACTTCAAACCACGAAAATGCGAAAGCTGGGTACCTTGTTTACGATTATGAGAGCAAAATCTAAAAAAATCTAAAAAATCTAAAAATAGTATACCCAGAATCGCGGCACGTAGACGCAGAGCTTATGGGTGATATATTCCCCTCCCCCTCGGTAATTTAACAATTAAGCATCACGTCTACAGGAAAGGACAAAAGTCAGTTTCTCAAAATATAAAAACAGCTCAGAACAATTCCTGTGGATAAAATTGCGTGAAACTACCAATTTAAGAGTACAAATAATGAACAGTAAACGACAAGTAAAGGGGGAATTTGGTCACGTAGTACCAAATTGCCATTAGACGTAAACGTGATGCTTAACCTGTTGTCGCGGTATACTGTCGCTTCTTATATCTGACCCAGATCGACTTTGTTGTGAGCAGAGAACGAAACTAGCAGTTTAAATACTAATGGCTATAATCAAAAATACTAATTTGCCATGGGCTGCAAAAAAACGCCAAACTGAAGTTATAAATTAACTATCCTTCCAAATAATCGGGGCTTGAGAACTAATAGCAAATTGATACCTGAGAGACATTTTATGCAAGTTGAACGAGAACGAGTTAGATAACCATGAAAATCACAATTAAAGTGGAGGAGCAAGGAAAGAGAGGCTGGCAGGTGGAAGGCTATTTAAGTGTGAGAATACAAAACAAACATGGAATTTATAGAGTGAATGGAGGCAAAGAATAAAAAGCTTCGAGACTAGGAGGCTTAGAACGTGTTCGTGGAGGAGAAAAGGTGATAATTCGCGTGAGAGAGAGAAAAGAAGAAAAACCGATCTGTTCAAGCAGACTCTCAAGGTCATGTTTCACATTATCACGAGCTCATGAGTCGTGTTTTGCTTGTCGGACGGTAATTTCTAACTGAATCGATCGTTGTTTCGGTCAGCATTTGTGAAATAGCGTACACAGTCTCTCAAGAGGGTTTTTTGCTGACGGTATAATTCGGTGCCTCTTATACCACGACTTTCTGTGACCCCATATACACATGCTTGTTTGTAACGCATATATATGGGCTTTTTTGTGCGCATATATATGCCCGTTTGTAAAAAAATGGTCATATACTTGGGAATAAAAACCCCACAAAGCAGGAAAGGACGCAAGTATACGTGGCAAAACAACGCACGTATATCGTGTAGCAGGAATGATTGCTCGTATACTTGGGAAAAAACCGCCCCTATATCGTGTCATAATTTTGAAACAAATGGCCGACTATAGATAATGGGACCAAAATGACTCTGTCAGGTGTTTTACTACAAAAGCAATTGATT